AAGTTTATATCTCTGCCTAAACCTTACCTTTTTCTTAACAGTTCCATCAGGCAGAGGAAAATGGTCTTCTAGAAATTCACCCAAGGTAATCAAAAGTTTCTCCTTAAATTCTTTTATATTAAGGATTTTAGTTTTGAGTTCATTAAAGATTCTAACAGATAAAAAAAGAGAGAAACATTAAATACATGAAACACATATGTGTGCACACATACCTGGTTATTCATAAGGCTGATCGAAGCTTTTTTAAAACTTTATTTTCTCCAACCCAGTAACCAGCTTATGAAAGTAATATTCTCCATACGTCATATAGGGCAATGAATGGTACAACCAAGTCATCACTCATAAAGTAACAAGTCATTAAAACAAACACTTGGTAAAAGTGAGGGCAAGACTAATGCTTCCTAGTTAAATTTGCCTTTTTATCTGTATTTCATATAAATAAAAAACTTTGTCCTATTCTAAAAATCAAGAAGATCAATTACCTTGATTCAGAAAAAGTCACAACCTGATTTTTCAATTCATCATGTAGAACATTAAGAGATTTCATTATTTGTTGCTGTTCATCCAACCACTGTTGCTCCCTTTAGAAAAACAGACAAAATAACTATATAAAACTTTAAATGCTAATTCAACATGCCAATGATTAACAGTAATTATGGTGTAAATATACCTTTCTAAGTCTTCTTTTAACTTTTCATTCTTTGACTGAATAGTAGATAGCACCATTTCAAGATCATGTCTCAATTTTTGGAACTAGAAAAAATAATTTAAATTAATTGCTTTTTTAAAAATAGTATAATTTGGTTTTGAATGACAGTAAAATTTATACACTAGGAAACCTCAATTCATAAGCCAATAGTAGAAGTGCCTAGCAAAAAGTGTTTAAGGACGTAAATATACAGCAGGTACTAAGTTTTTAGTAGCATTCCATTGTTAAATATAAAAATAAACTGAAGAGTATTGAGTAATATACTTTCATTTCAAGCTTCAATGTCAACTAACGTTTTCTGTAACTGGGTATTTCAGGTCACTTTTCTTATCAGACATATAAACATAGATATAAATGAATATCACTCATTCCCTATTTATTCAACCAATCATTCAGTCAATAATTTTTGGTAAGTTACTGGTTACTAGGCATTGTTGAAGGAGGATGGGATGCAAAAAGCGGAGAAAAGAGGCAAATCCAGAAAACCAAATAATGTGTAACTTCAGGCACTGCTAAGTGCCATTAAGAAAACAAATCAGACAAGGGGATCATAAAATAGTCACCAGGTAATCTGCTGCAGTGCAAGCTCTATAATTTAAAATTTCAGTAGCAGAGAAAGAAGACAAAAGAAAAACGCAGTGACAATCTAAGAAAAAAATTCCCGGCTGATGGGATGTCTGAGGAACAAGAAGGAAGACTGTGGTTAACCTGCATAACAATAAGCTCTATAGTTTATCTAACTTCTTTTTGTTTGTGGAACATATTAACTAATATGCCACTGTCATATCAACGCAGGTTTGTAAAACCCAAAGTAACTCAGGAAAAGGGTGAAGAGAGCATTAAGTCAAAATGACAACTTGATTGTTAAAATATACAATTAAATTTTTTAAAAGGAGGAAATGCAGTTAAGTAGAAATAAACTACCAAAGTCGATTTCAACAAAACCATACTGGCATTAAATATGGTCTAAAAATGGCTAACAATGGAATTAAATTAGAGATAAGACAAAATTAGGAAACAGCAACTTAGATGGATATTAAAAAACACTTTTCGGGACAGGGATATAACTCAGCAGCCCAGTGCCTGCCTGGCAAGTGCAAGGGCCTCAGTTCAATTCCTAGTACAAAACAAAACAAAACAAAACAAAACAAAACCCATCTAAAAACACTTCTAAATAATCTGTACATCAAACAACCAATAAGAAAATAAAATTGCTATAACTTCAATCAAAAGTTATTATGTGTAAAAATATAACATCAAAATTTCTGTGAAGTAAAAGCAGTATCTAGATGAGAATATAAATCACGAAATGCTTATATTAGAAACCAAAGAAACTTCTCAAATTAATGACTTCAACTTCTACCATAAACTTAAAAAGACCACCTAAAACAAGTAGTATGATGAAGAAATAATAACTTAAAAAAATGGGGGTGCTGGGGGCTGGCCAGATAACTCAGCACATGAAAGCAACTGCTTAGGCAGGCTCAGCGACTGAGGTTCAATCCCCAGCGTTCCGTGCCTGCCCCACTCCTGGACCACACTGAGGGTGACTGAGACTGGCCTTGGTGGTGTGCCTGTAATCCCAGCGCTTGGGAGGCTGAAAACAGGCAGATCACTATAAGTCTGATCTGTGTAGTGAGACCTTGTACTAAATACATAATAAATAAATAAATAAATAAATAAATAAATAAAAGAAATGGAGGTGTCAATGAACATTGACATTTAAAAAGTTAATGAAATTTACCAGATTAATTACAGGAGAAGTGGAAAAAGACACAAATACCAACATCAAAGAGAAATGATACAAAAATTCTTACTACAAGTAAGAACTCATAAAGGAGGAATGTTATGAACAACTTTATGTCAATATACTGACAAAATAGACCAGATACACAAATTCTTTGAAGGACATCTAGTACCAAACCTAATTCAAAAACAAATAGAAAATCTTACTAGTAATAAAGAAATTAGATTCATAGTTAAAATTTTTCACTGTAATGTTTTTATTCAGCTTATGAGCAAACTTCAGGCCCAGGCAGCTTTACTATTAGTTCAAACAAATGTTTAAAGAACAAGACAATACCCAGTATGTACCAGTTCCACTGAAGAGGACAGGATGCTTCACAATTCACTCTGTGAGACTTGTATTACCCTATACCAAAGCCTAATAAAGACATCATAAGAACAACACAAAACCCTACAAACCAATACTATCTCTAGAAGAAAAATGCAAAAATCTTTAAAAAGTTTCAGCAAGAAGTTAATAAATGAAAAAGATCAATAGTGAAGTAGAGCTTATCCCAGTAATGCAGTTAATTAAGCAGTTGAAATCAATTTTAAGTCAATCATTGTATTTCACAATATCAACAAACCAAGAAAAAACAATCATCTCAGTTCTGAACAGGAAGTAACAAAATTCAAAATTAGTTCATGACCCTAAAAAAAAACTTTATAAACTATAATAGTAGAATCTAGTCAATCTAATTAAGGGCATCTATGAAAACATTACTACAAACATAATGATGAAAGAGCAAATCCTTTCTGACCCAATCATGAGCCAAGCAAAATGCCCATTTTTACCAATTTGGTATTATTTTGATATAGTTCAAGGTCAGTGGAATATGTCAAAAAAGATATTAAAACCATCCAGACTGGAAAGGATAAGTAAAATTGACTTTGATCTCAGATAACAGAACTATTTGTTGTTTTTTCTTAAAAAAGTAATAAAGGTTCTTCAAACTCACTACATAAAAGACCAATATACAAGAGATTGAAAAATACAGTTAGATTTTTAAAATATTTAGTGTAGTAAAATACACATTGCCCTTAACCCACCTAAATATATTTTCCCTTCCTTCTGCAGGGCCAGCACTGCATATGATACCAAGGATCGAACCAGGGTCTAGGCACTTAGACCACTGAGCTATCTCCATGGCCAACAACATGTCTTTTATTAAAATAAATTTTACAGAAAACTTAAACATTCATCATATTTTTCAATCACACTTTATAAGAAT